ACACATCTGTAGTTCCAGCTACCAGAAGGCTGAGGTGGAAGGATCACTTGAGCCTGGGAGGTTGAGGTTTCAGTGAGCTGTGACTACATCACTGCACTTTGGCCTCAGGGACAGGGAGAGACCCAGTCTCGAAAAATAAAAATTAAAAAACATGCAGCATCAGTTTTGGGACTGGGTACTACACAGAAGCAGGAAAATTAAAAAAAGATAAAGACTGGGGAAACAGCAGTTTATTGTGGTAAAATAATTGGTAACATTTTTGCCTGAGATAACTTGAAAGATGGAAAATACACATAATGAACTTAATAGATGTGGCTAAGACAATTTCTAGACAGGATGCTGAAAATATAATCTGGTTTCTACCTATGATAAAGGCATTGGAAGGAAAAAAAAACATCAACTAAAGAAGGAATTGTTCAGTTTGCAAGCAGAATGTAGGGGGAGATAGTTCAGCATTTGCTGGGTTGGAAATAAAGCTGTCTTTCACTCTCAAAGTTTTGAAAGTGATAGGTAATCACTGTGTGTGTTGGGATGAGGGAAGCGGGAGTAACAGTAGGAAAAAAACAGGATATGCACTTAAATACACACGTATGTGTATGTGTGGAGAGACGAAATGTTTTCCAACTAGTTACTTAAGATATTGTTTTACATCAAAATAAATATGAATCGCTCGGTATAGATTCTAAATTGTCATTAATTTTTAAGAAAGAATGTACAAGTTCAAAGAAATTTTACTCTTGTGGCTTGTGGTTTAGGGCTCTCCCCCTAAATCTTCTAGAATAGGCACTTATTGGGGGCAGCAGTGAGATAAGCAATTTAGATGAATCCTCAACTGTGGGTTTTGGAAACCTGGCATCAGTTAATGTTCCCAACAAGGTGAGAATCATGGCAACAATGAGTCATGGAGCTACAACTGTACCACAAGGGTTATCCCAACCTGCAGAGATCCACTTCTCAAAAGAAAAGAACTGAAGCAAATGGCAGAAAAATTAAGTAAAACAGATTTCTGTGATTCAAGCAGATAATACCAAATGTGTGTGCTAAACGTGCTCATACATACATAGCAAGTCAGGCTCTTAGAGCTTATTTGCTCTCACTGAACATGATATTGAACCATACGCAATATCCCAAACTCATGACAGAGCAAGAAGGTATGTTATATTGAGCTATACAAGCCAGACAAGATAACAGCCCCAAAGCAGGAAGCAGTAACAGCAGTCTGGGGTTACTTATTATGATGGCAAAGAACACTAAATACATCAGCTGATCCTAAAGGGCACCATATTTTGTCATAACGGTTTCATTCATTCAAGTAAAATTATTGACCATGTGTTGTGCTGTATGTGCCAGGAATTTTAAAATGTTAATCCTGCCCTCAGTGTACTTACAGGCAGCTAGAGGTGGAAGCTATACTTGGGACACGGCATTCCACTATGCTCACAAATGCAACTAAGCTCCTAGGGAGCTTAAAATAAATCATGGTGTGATCATTCATCAAGGAAAGGTTTTGGTCAGTAGAATCTATTTAAGAAGACAGGAAAACGGGCAATTTATTTTAGACAGATTTCTATTCCAAATGTCTAAAACAAAACAGTCTTGAATTTTAAGCAAATGCTCAGCTCTCTGGAATAATCCCAACACCAAAGTTGTACTGAACATATCATATGCAATATTTCATGACACATCACATAAATATAAAGCAGCACATAAATTTCATACATAAACAGACTAAAAATTCATATGTTACTACTTATGGGTAATAAAACTTGAAATAGTTGTGTTTTCCCCGGGGCAAAGTCTCTTCATTTTATCCATTAAAAGTTCAAGTCAATTTGAGAAAAATTTATATCCAACCATTCTGTACATGTCTAGATTACCCTCAACTTTTTTTTATAACAAAGCACCTCTTGCTAAAAAAGACTTTAGAAAGGTAACTAAAACTTTACTTGAAACTTATTAATTGCAAAAACACTAGAGATTTATTTTCCTTCTACAGTCAACTAAATAAGCTGAGGAGAAGAGTTTCATTAAACAATGAAAAACAAGCACGACTTTCATACCATGGCTTGATGTTTTTAAACCTAAATAATAATATAGGGACAAAAATGTCTGCGTTCCCTGGAAATAAGTTCCTATAAAGATCCTTAATTCATTTAGAAATCATACAACAGGTCATTTTCATGTATTCCATGAAGTAAAATGTATTCGTGATTAGCTGAAAACATTATACTCTAATAAACTTTGCATAATTCTAAAGCAACTTTGAATCATTTCATTACCTTTCTAAACTTTTCTTTACACAGTAAGTATATTACCACAGGGAACTTGGTTCTCGCCAATCTCTACTTTGCACATAAAGGACAATTCAATCTATAGAAGTTGATGTTTTGCTCATTTTAATTTTAAAGATCTAAAAACCCTTCATTTTTATGAATTATAAGACTTTAAGTATTAAACATAAACTAACTTGTACAAATGTTCTCTGGAAATTTCAAAATTTGCCGCAGGAACCCTATTGAAATTTGAAGTGTGGATAGCTACTTAGGCATTATATACCATGGATTATATACAACAGCTGCTTTCACTCAACATCCCTTCTGGGTTTCCATGATGGGAAATGCGGCCAGCAAAGACCAGCCCCCACAATTTCTCTCAGTCTGTGACCTGCTCTGCTGACCACCAGAGAGGGCCCAGCAACCCTGAGGAGGAGGGTGGCCTCACTCCTGACACCAGGGCCTCAGTGTCTGGTGTGCAGACCTGGGTGAGCCAGGGGCTTTCATCTTGACTGTCTTTCAGGAAGACTTGTGCAATAAAAATAGGAAAGCTTTTGGAGCCAGAGTCCTGGGTTTTAACTCTAGTGCTAGTGCCTAAGAACTATGAGGCCTTTGTCCAGTCAGATAATCTCTGTGCTGTGGATAAAATACACAGAGCCGCCAATCTCTCAGATGGGAATCCTGCCAAGATGTGTTATCACACCTTTAGCAAACACACATACAAAATAACAAGAAATCTTTCCTTATTGTTAGTCTTCATTTTATTTGATAGCACTCTCATAATTCATTAACAATTCTAACACACAAAAACTCTTTTCCTTTTCCTAATCTCCTAAGCACCTTTTTTCAATTTTTTTTAATTGAAGGAATTCTGATAAATGTGAATCGTTCTTCTGCTCTAAACTGAGAGTGAGCAGCTCATCATACATACAGCTAGGGTGCAAAAATGGAAACTGTCGCTTAAACTTTCTTTTGGTTTTCAGTCAACCCAAAATATCTGGGACACTGAATTCATTTCCTAAGGCTGACATAAAATACCATACACATTTATTTAGTGGCTTAAGACAACAGACATTTATTCTCACACAGTTGTGGAGCCCAGAAGTTCAAAATCAAGTTGTCTTAACAGCCACACTCCCTCTGAAGGCTCTGGGGGAAACCTTCCTTGCCTCTTCCAGTTTCTGCTGGCTCCTGCCATTCCTCGGCTTAACTTCATTCTCTGCATCCATTGTTATATGGTTTCCCCTTATGTTTCTCTATCTCAAATTTCCCTTTCCTTTCTCTTATAAGGACACGAGCTACTGAATTCAGGATTCCCTCATCCGGAGACCTTTAATTTAATTACATGTGCAAAAACCCTATTTCCAAATAAGGTCATATTCACGGATACCAGGGATTAGGAAGTGGACATATCTTTTTGGGAGATGCTACTTAACCTACTATCGGTGTTGCTCACAAAAGCTGCATAATTAATTCTCTAACAAGTTCAGGTTAATCTAGATATTTTTACCCTAGCTAAGCTTTTGCAAATCAAGTAAGTGTTAGAAATTGATGGCAGTACATTCTTTTGATCAATGTACCCTTAAAGTATCCAAGTAAATATATAAAATATCACTTCTGTAAAACCACTGGGTATAATTTTATTTGCAGTACGTGTATTTCTACATAATGATCTTCAATTTGTATATCACCTTAACTCACATTTTATAATCTGAAATAAGAAACTAAGGTAAGGGCTGGTAATGGCAGTTCACATCTGTAATCCCAGCACTTTGGGAGGCCAAGGCAGGCAAATCACCTGAGGTTGAGAGTTCAAGATCAGCCTGACCAACATGGAGAAACCCTGTCTCCACTAAAAATACACTATCAGTCAGGCGTGGTGGTGCATGCCTATAATCCCAGCTACTCGGGAGGCTGAGGCAGGAGAATCGCTTGAACTGGGAGGTAGGGGTTGCAGTGAGCCGAGATCACGCCATTGCATTCCAGCCTGGGCAACAAGAGCGAAACTCCGTACAAAAAAAAGAAAAAGAAGAAAAGATACTAAGGTATATGTATCCCAAATTCATAAATGAGAAAACAGATTCAAAGGTAATTTGCCCAAGGCCACACAGCACAAAATGTTGCTTCGGACAGAGTTTAAACTTCTGATTCATTTATTCAAAGATATTTACTGAATGCTCTATATGTAAGACACATAAATTTGTAAACATAACAGATCACCCTTGCCCTCATGGAGCTTACACTCTAGTAGAGACAAGAAGTTAAGAAGTTCAAAATAATTACCAATTGTAATGCACTAAGAAAGAAGTACACTGGGTAGTGAGATAAAGAGTAATGATTGTGTGCATGTGCATGTGCATGTTTGTGTCTGTGCGGGAGGGAGGGGTTCAGAAAGCATGTTTGGGGAAAGCCTCTTAAGGAGTAATTGGTGAGCCACAGCCTGAGGAAGGGGCAAAGATGTCATAAAAGACACTGGAAGAATATTCTAGGATAAAAGAACAAGTGCCTATTTAGGATGGCACAGACAATACACTGTAAACTATGTCCTGGTTATCCCCCCAGGATCATTTTCCCCACTCTGCCCAACTCAAACTCTACCCTTCAGCCACCCTTTCAGCACTACTTTGCATCCCTTAAACTGGGGGCCACTCTTGCCTCTGGCCTTCACGTTAACCAAGCACAGTAGGCCTGCTTATACTCAGACTGCAGAGATTACATTCTGCTTCCGTATATATTAAACATTCTCTACACCTGCATCAGTGTCATGATTGCAGAAAAATGGCAACATAATATTCCACTGAATACTGTCATAATTTACTCTATTATCATTCACATACTTTTAAATACTTAACATTGTTTTTCAAAATTATATTAATATATACTATATCACATGTTAAATGACATGCATATAGTATATTATATATAATTAATAAGAACATAATTTTTCAAAATACTAGATAATGGTAGAACAAATATCTTCATTACAGCAAGCTTTTAATACCTGGAAGGGTTATCCATATCAAATTTTCATAATGAAATACCAAGAGAATACAAAATAATTTAAAACTTATTTTTGAAAAAAAAATTTTCAAGATTAGCATGTTTTAAAAAACTTTTATGTATCTTTCATAAACAACACTACTCTCCATCATCAACAAAGTTTACACACACACACACACAAACACAAACACACACACACACACACACACACACACACTCTCACCATCACAGATACTAATATTTTTAGGAATCCTTCCATGGCTTTTTACTCCTGATTAATTAGCCAAAAAAAGCTTACTTTATTCAAGCCCATGGACAATCAACCCAGATATGAGTGCTAACACATATTAGGTAGTTGTAAATGTGGCGCAGCTCACTGTGTGGCTACTGGAATACAGATGCAAACTATACACTTTTCTGCTTTAATGTCTTCCAAAAACATCGATGAACAGTAATTTAACAGTGATTTAGAAAGTCGCGTCTTTCAATTTATCTTAATTTTTCAAGAAACTATTTGTATTTTAAGCCACATGGACTTAAAATGTTTTATGTCTCTGTGTAAAGGAGAATTATACTGGCATTTGTCAGAAATTGACATTTTCTTAAGTGTCAGTGAATTTTTTATAGCCCAATAGTCTGGGATTTGATTAAATGTCCAGGTCTACTTTTTTCACATTCTTAAGGCAAGTATCAAAAACTCAAAAACCTTCAAGGGCTGAGCTAGCAGTGTATCCATGTGAAGTAGGGAGCTGGGTTGGAAACACGAATAGGCTGTTTTTCTAGACTGCCTTCTGCTTACAGTAATGTATACTAATAATTGTGGCTTGGGAAGTAGACATGTGCTCTGTGTAAAACCTAATCAATTCAGAAAGCCAGTCTTCATTGTTTGCTCTCTGAGATTGTTCCCAGGCCATAAAAGAGTAAGAGAGATCTAATGCTATATTTTCACACATATATAGAGAGTTTGTTTTTAAAGACTGCTTTGGTGTAGAAATACAAGATAAATTTGCTTTAGCATTTACACAGAACTTTAGGTTCCTCCATTCTGTGATTTGGGGAATCTCTATGCCATAACATCATGTCACATACATTAAATATATAGAATTATATTGTATACATTTAATGTGAATATCTAATATCACATTTTATTATTTACCAAGTACTACTTACCGAGCTACTAATAACAACATCAAACACAGTGGGTATTCGCTATGTGCCAGGTGCTGGCCAGATGTTTTACACATTACTTCATTTAATTCCCACAACAACTTCCCCAGGTAGGCATTATAATCACCATGGTGGCAATACACTGGTGAGGCTCACGGAATACCCACCAGGTGAACCAACTAGGTGAGAAAATCCATCTCTCTCCTTCATTGCATCTACTATGAGGAATCATCCTCATATGGTGCTTACTATCTGATGTGAAAGTACAGCAGAAGCTACTAGAAGAATATCCATTCTCCTGTCTTCCTACTGGCAGAAGCTCTATTTTGATCAGGGTGGCAATGTGCTAAAATACATTTCCCAGCTTCCCTTGGTGTTAGAGGTGGTCATGTCACACTGTTTTGGTCTAAATGACGCAAGCAGGAGCTTACTAAAGACTTCTGATGAAGTTGTATTTCTTAAAATAGACACCATCCTTTTCTCCATGCCTCTGTTTTCCCTCCTAATGTTTGGGACCAGGAGGAAAAGGCCAAAGGGATCACAAAGACTCAGCCCTCATGCTCTTGAGCCGCTAAACCCATGCCAGCAGCCAGCTTTCCATGAGACAAAACCAAAAAATCCTAAATCATTATTAAGCCACTCTAAGGTCTTTGTTACAGTCTGAGGTAGGTCCTAAGTGGCATGGAGTAACTGCAGATACTTTAAAGAGCTAAATTAAGCAGAAGAATTTTGGTGCATGATTTTAAGTATGGAAGTCCCCAGGCTGTAGGTTCCACAATGGGGCTCCACCAGAGCCATGTACAGGCCATGTACAGGTTTCTAATCCCAGCCCAATGGTGTGGTCAGTGTTATATTACAGTAACAAGCCACATGGACAGTAGACAGACATAACAGTTACATTCTAGGCTTTGAATTCTTAACAATAAACTGCCAGACCAAATTATGTTTCAGTAATTATTCTGAACTAGGAAAAACTGGAATTAAGGGAAGGAGAAGAAGCTAATCAAGATGAAGCACTTAATACCAAAGCCATTCAATATTTAATAAAGAAAACACCAGCAACTACATCTGTACTGTAGGCAGAGGTTATAGTGAAATATCTGACCAGGATATGTCTTATTATATTCAAATTAAGCTGGTACTTAGTGTTTCAGGTTTACTGTGAGACATAATTTCATGCAAAGTATCCAGGAGGGAAGCACTTCAGAGACTGATGTAGAGATGCACAGTCACTGGGCTCCTCTTTGGGATGAATTGCTAAATTCACAGTCAGAACATGTCTTCAATATTTGTATTATTTTTGTACATGAACACAACAATAGGTATATAAGTCTTTGAGGTCAGGGACTTCAATATCTTCATTTCAATATCCCTAGTACCTACGTGATAAATGATAGGCATTCAATAAATATTATGTGAGGCGAGAAATGCCTCAATTTTATTTAAAAGTTTTGAACATTAAGATTAAAACATACACACACAATGGCAAACAAAACAAGCTTAAAAGGCACTCTTGCCTGACATGAAAATAAACCCAAAATATGTTATTAAATTGAAAATAGTAAGTTGTAAACAACAAGTAAATTTATGGAAAAATCTTAAAGTACACACAATAGTGGTTTCTTTGGTTTTGAGGGTGTCTTTTTTTGTAATGAGGAGCAATAGGAAACTTTATATAAAATTCTATATCAAATATGCACATATATTTGTATGTGTATATAAACATATACACATTCACACACATTTTTAAATGCACATTCCATAAGGCATTTAAAATCATTATGTTACCTGATGAAAGAGTATTACCTAAATAGTCTAATTTAAAAAATGAAATTACAAAAATAGTCCACAGTATAAAATCCTTACATTTCCCCTCTCATATTACTATAAAGCTTCAATTGTATGTTTCAATAAATTACTATTTGAGACCCAGCCGTATATTGGATGCTGAAAAGGAAAAAGAAAGAGTTCTCTCTATTCCACTAGCCCCTTATTTTTTATACTTTGTTATGGTCTGCTTTCCATTTGCTGGGTAATATCTTTATTACACACTAAATCCCTTATGGCTTCAAAAGGAAATTTTCCATTAGAAAGTAGTCAAGTGTTGAAAGGAAAGTGATCAAGCCCAGAGAAATATACAAGTTTAGGGAAATGTTCTATTTTCTAATGACAGGGAGAAAAATATCTATTTCAATGCCTGCCCTCTTTACATAACATTACTCAATTTTATTTCTAAATATTCTTTATAGATTGTCCCCATGCTTCAGAAAATACATTTCTATACAAAGCCAGAGACTGATTTTTAAATAAGGTAATAATATTAAGACAATCTTTTTCTTGTGTTAGATTTGATCACAGTAATTTTAAATGTCCCAAATAATATAAAGAAGAAAATAAATACCAGTGTAGAAGTTCAAGATCCTAAAAATTATGAGTGCTTTTTTTACATTTCCTCTGCTAACTAGTTTATGTTTTCAATGAAGGTATGTTTTTGGAAATAATACCAAAAGTTTTCAAGTTTCCATTTATGTACTTTCTATTTTAAACACACCAGGGGAACTGAATATGCTGGCAGTGATAATTTGTTAAATATATAAAGTTTCACCTTCCACAACAAATGTTACATGTTATTTGCCTTTTCCTTTTAGTAGGTATTATGCCTGTTTCTCGGATAGGGAATCTAACATGTCAGAAGATAAACATTTTGCTCAGACATAAAAAACCAAGTCATATTTTGAACTCAGATGTATCTGAGTTTAAAAGTCTGCTCTTCTGATGCTTTTATTTGGAACTATTTTGTAAAGCAAAAACTCATGACCAAGGTAGCTTCATTCCATTTCATAGAGCAGGCTTAAAGCCTGGAACACCTGCATAAAACAACTGAAAACTCCAGTCTATAAAAACATTTCAAAACTGAAATTATTCACTGATTAATATTTTTCTTTAGAACAGGATTCACTTAAAAGAAGAGTTCATCGAATAAACTTTAATTATGACATATGGAAAAAAAGAGGAATAAAAAACACATTTATTAATTAAATGTGGTACACTAACATTACACTAATTGTCAAAATTTTGTTACAGGTCAAAGGCCATGCCAAGGCTCCCAGAGTCTTTGTTATTTGTTTTTTTGGGAGAGTCTAGAGCAAGGACAAGTATCTGTGCACAAAAATGCAAACAAAATATTTTAAGTCTCCTCATAAGCATAAGTATAATGCTAGTGTAATGCTCTGTTAATTTCAAGCAATTGCTTTCCAGCACTTATGATCTACCATCTCATTTAGAAATTCAAATTCAAACTAATAAACATGGATCTTGATGAATTTTTGGAAGGAAAATGATAAAATGATTTTAAAACATAATATCAAAGCACAAGAAAATATAATAAAAAAAGGAGGAAATGTACTTAGGGGCATACTTTCAGCAATGATGAAAATCTATGTAATGTTTTTCATTTACATTCACAATTTATTTGTAATATTTGCTTCTGAGAATGTTACCTGAAGGAAAAAATTATAATCAAATTTAACTGACTTTAAAAAACTAGAAATAAAAGCATATATTTAGCAGAATTTTCTAAGCTTATAAATGCATGTGGAGAATGAGATGGTTCCAAATTCATGTATCAGATGTTTAGCAAATTATGTCAGTATACAAAGTCACTAAATTATTAAATTTCAAATACTTTATATTCCTGAGGATTAATTTCTAGAAACATAGTGGTGTTAAAATTGTCTTCTGCTCTTATCATATCGAAAAAATTCAAAATAAAGTTATTTTTCTTAAGGAAGAGCCGATAGATGGAAATAGATCACAACAATGGCAATTTGACATGTTATATGTCTTTGTATAGAAAGATAGACTATTGTCACCATAGGGCTACACAAAAGATCGTTAGACATAGCCATAACCCTTTTCTCTCCAACTCTCAAGGGTAGTAAAAATATCTTGCAAATCTTTTGCCAACTATGCAGATGTGCAGCATGTGTGTACACATACATCTCTTCCTTTTACACATTCCCAAGCTGGGACTAGGAAAGGAAGAGTAGGT